CTTGGCGCCGTTATTTATTTCTTTCCCGTGGTCGGGCTCGTTATCTTTCGGCAGTGGCTGCTGGAATTCACATCGGAGATAAATGGGGAGGAGGTCAGCTCAACTTCACGGCAGTGCGCATTCGGTCGGCTCACCTTGCGCACGCTCGCTCTTGCTGATGCGACGTGCCGATGTCGAGCGGGGGCGCATTTTCAGGATTTTCGGAATTGACATGCCACAATGGCAACATTCAATTCAAGTGTCCAATCATCACAATTTCATGTGGATTGTTTTTGGTTCCGATGAAATGACATTTGGGGGCAAACCGCATCCAACCGCATCTCCAGCGGTGTGGTCCCGAATACTATTTAAAAATGTTTTTTTTTTTTTTTTTTTTTTTTTTTTTTTTTGTCGTGACGACACAATTTGACCTAAAAAGAATCACAGCAGATCATTTCAATCCCTCCCCATGACGCTGGATGTTGGCTCTTGTTCTGTTATTTGGGCTGTTCCCCTTTCCAAAGAAGCGCTCGAAACATTCTTTATTTAGTTTATTTATTTATTTTTTTTGCTCATTTTTGCTTACTTGAAAATTGAAATTTTTCCTCCTGTGCAGGTTTTGACTGAGGCACCTATTTATTTATTTCTTTATTACAGCCGGTGGGGGTTGAAGGTCCCTGTGCAGTGCAGCACCAAATGGCCCATAGCCCAGTATTGGCTGTCCGCGGCCCGGTGGGGGAGAGGCTCGGTTCAAGGCTAACTTTGTTTTCCCCACTCATTTGTCTCGTGCGTCTCTGCCTTGAATTTGAAATGTGTGTGTGTGCGTGCGTGTGTGACTGTCGTCTGCATGAGTGTGTGGAGGTGGGGTTAGTGTGTGTGTGTGTGTGTGTGTGTGTGAGAGAGACTGTCGTCTGCATGAGTGTGTGTGGAGGTGGGGTTAGGGAGCAGTGGGAAGTGGAAATTTACAGTCTTCCATGTTTGTACCTGAGTGGTGTGTCAAAGCGAGGCCCCGTCCAATCGCGGCTTTGGATTTAATTGTCTTGAGCCGAGGGGCCGGCCTTGCTGTCAGATCCGCTTGGAGTGGCCCGAGCTGGCATAAATGCACTTGCTGCACAGGAATGGTGACCGCTGACGGACACACACTTTGGATATTGCTGGAGCCATGAAGGAAATGTAAGTTTTCTCCCGCGTCTTCGCTTGACGAGGTGAAACTTGAGGAGGGGGGCGACGGGGGCCCGCATGTCGGTCCTTGCGTCTTTCTCAATTATTTTCATCGTCATAGTTTGTTGGAAGCTTCTGCGGATCGTTTCATGTCGACGGCCAGCTTCTCAGCGCGCTTCTCAATTGTTTTCCCAAGCGCGGTGCAGCGGTGGCTTCTTTCCAGTTGTCGCGCTCCCGCTTAAGAGGAATACTTTTCTTTTGAAAGTGTGTGAAAATGAAGGCTTTGAAATGCCGACGACAGTTTGGAATCGGCTTCTCTCTGTGGAGCGCCGGCAAGCAGAAGTCTGGCGAGCAGGTGCGGGAGCGTTCACGGTCGCAAAAGAGGGCCAAAGGGAATCGAGTGAGAGGATGAGACGAGCTGCGGCCGAGGTCCGGTTATGTAACGAGGCCGGTCGCAGGAACGCAAAGCCACTCAGTTTGACTCGCCATGCGGAACGAGGGAGAGCAAAATGCCAGAAAACGGCGACACGGTGCTCAAGCGAGAGGGTGGGGGGCTGAAAGAAGTCGTCAATTCCGGCCAGAATGTTTGATGGAGGGCCTGTAAAATGTAAGCCGGCTGTTATTTCCGATCGTCCCGCTTTGACTCGATTTGGCGCCACGTTGGGCAACCGTCACGCCAGCTCCAAATGTCCCACTAAAGGTTTGGAGCGGCGCGAGCAAAGGCCAACTCGCTCCCGTGGAGAACTGGACGTGGCGCGCGGTGACAAGGAAATCCCGCCTTTCCAGGAAGGTTACGTTGGCGGCGCCGGATTGACCTCGCTGTAAGCTTGTGTGGAAGCGGGCTCGGCGTTATCTCGCTCTCTATATTTGGACGTCCCGGCGCTGGAGTGCAAGCCAAATGTCAACTTTGGCAGCTCCTGAGCGCACGTTTGTGCTCATTCTCTTGCCACATTCTCCGTCGTCCAGTCACACCTTTTGAGCGGTTGACGCTGCGATTGAAGAGGCGATTCTTTGTTTCGGGACCTTCTGCTCACGGATTTTCTTTTTAGTCATGATAAATTCATCGGTATTACAATCAACAGTTTCAGGTTTGTACGATGAAATGAAGGCAAATCAAGCATGAATTATGAAGGAGGTTTTTTTTTTTTGTTTTTTTGGCTACTTCATTTAGAATTGTTTGACGTGCGGTTCGCTTTGACTTTTCATGAAACAATAATAGTGTGGACTGTGCACTTGAGTTTAGCCCGACAGAACAAAATGAATCCAAAGTCGACTCAAGTGTACAGTCAGACCTCGGTTTTCGACCATAATCTGTTCCAGAAGGCTGTTCGAAAACCGAAACCACGCTCTTTTAAAAAAAAAAAAAAATCTTGATTGAACACTGTCTGCTCACAATGGAGCGCTACACGAGGAAGCGTCACTTCCTCGCGTCAGGAAAGTGGGAGGAGTCAAGTGGCGCATTCAAGTGCGCTCAGTTTGGTTGAGAAAAGATTTTCGGTCGTCATCCGAGGCATAAAAAACTTGAAATTTTGGGTCGAAAATCGATTTGGTCGAGAACAGAGCCGTTCGAAAACTGAGGCTTGGCTGTATTTCTGGAGCGCTTGAAAACGACGGCATTCCGACCACAACAAACAATGAATAGTTTGGCGGCGAGTCAAAAGAGCCAAAGAATAGAAATGAGTTTTCAAAAGACAAAGCCTCTCGAGCAACAAAATCAAGCACTTCATTTCATTTTCAATTTGGAAAATGCCACCGCACTCCATCGTGGCATCCGCCGATATCCCCGCGCGTCCGAATCGCGCCGCATAATTTGAAAGGATTCCTTTTGACGAGGTGCCTCGTCTCGGTTTAAACGAGCCACCCAAACATTTCTCCGGCGTGCAATGACCTCGGCCCGTCAGCCGCTCAGATTAGCCAGATTAGCGGCGCCCGCTACGTGATACGCGGCGGCGCGAAAGGCAATCGGGAGACGGCATCATCCTCTCCCGAATGCTCGGCGTTGACGTGCCCTCTGTGGAACTCTCCCTTGTCCGCAGCATGGCCCAAAAAGAGAAGCTTCAATGCCTGAAGGACTTCCACAAGGACACGCTGAAACCCTCGCCGGGGAAGAGCCCCGGCACCAGGCCCGAAGACGAGGCGGAAGGCAAGGCGCCGCAGAGGGAGAAGTGGGCCAGCAAGCTGGACTTTGTCTTGTCCGTCGCCGGAGGCTTCGTGGGACTCGGAAACGTCTGGCGTTTCCCTTACCTTTGTTACAAGAACGGCGGAGGTAGGTGGCGGGCGCGCGCCCCCGAAGGGGAAAACGACGCCGGCGCTCGCCTGACGGGGGTTCCCGTGTGCCGTCGTTCAGGTGCCTTCCTCATCCCTTACTTCATCTTCCTGATTGGGGGAGGCCTGCCGGTCTTCTTCCTGGAAGTGGCGCTGGGCCAGTACACCTCAGAAGGAGGCATCACCTGCTGGGCCAAACTCTGCCCCATCTTCACGGGTCAGTCCGCCGCACGCCGCCGGTTGGCCGCCGTCTTTTGAGAGCACGGCGCGCCCGACGATCGCACGGCCGTCCTGGCTCGGCGGTTCCAAACGCGAGCGCGCCGTCGAGAGGTGAGCGCCGGCCGGCGCCGCGGCGAATGACCCGAACGACGTCAGGTCGGCGCCAGTTTGAGAAGCCGCGACGCCACCGTCCGGCTTGCGCTATGCCTCCGGACGGGGGGGGGGGGGGGGCGCCCCTCCACCGC